GTAACTGTAACGGAATACAGTTACTCATATTTTGTATTTTAAATACGTAACGGCGGTACATGTATTCCGTTACTCCCCAACACTATTTACATATATGTAATAAACTTTATTTAAACTCACATTGATTGACGGCCAGGACTGAGCATGCTCTGCTGACATGTACCCTGGCTGCGGGTGACAGGTGAGGGTGTTAGACCTCTGAGGGACGGGAAAGGCTGAGCAGGATGCTGGGCCCCTCATGACACCGCTGGGCACTGCAGCAGAGAGCACGCCCAGTGTCCTCGGAGGGCTGATGGGATGCGGACAGGTCCACTCCTCCTCATCCTCTGAGGATTGTGGTGGTTGAGGGGCTGGTGTGGAAGGAGGAGGGGGCTCAAAGTGAAGGTGGGCCACCTCTGACAGTGGAAATGGCATCTCTCTGGAGTGGCGCATGGAGCTCTCGTCATGGCCTCCGTCTCCCCCTGCGCCACCTTGATGGGGAGATGGGGACACTCTGTGCTGCAGTCTACTGTGGGGAGAGCCTATGTGTTGGGACTGCTGTTTTGCGTAGCTCTCAACGTAGGGCCGAGGTTTCGGCAGGGTGGAAACTGGGTCCAGAGAGAAGCGGGGCGGGCACTGGTAAGCCGAGGGATCGGCAACCTCTGAGTAACTACGACGACCCTGAAAGCTGGCTCGTAGGTGCTGGCTGGGTGGTCGGCAGGAGTAAGAGGCTGGTCCATCGTTCACGTCCAGCAGGGGTGAGCGGCGGTGCATGTCCGGGGAGAGGCGCTGCAGCACCGGAGAGCGTCGCTGCTGAATAGGAGAGTGGTGCGGCGGAGGCGGGACTGGAGAATGGCGCTGTGGAATGGGCGAGTGGCGCTGCGATACTGGGGAGTGGCGCTGGTGGTGTATGGGAGAGTGAAGCTGGACTGAGGAAACAAAAAGGAAAAAAAAAACAATCAAGATTTGCATGCATCTTAGCAACATGCTCTAATTCATTACACACTATGGACAAGAGTTAAAACTTCAGCAACACTCTTTTAAGGCCTGTTCAACCGGTGCACAAAGAAAGAGATGAATAGTGTTTTATCTCATGAAGCTCAAAAAGGCATGATGGAAAACACATTAGCTCTACTTATGCTATTACTTATACAGGACAAAACACAAATCAATACACAGAGCTCAGTTGTACTTTGCAGTATACACTATATATTTATTTACTGGAAGTTCAACCAGTGCTTCTTGCAAGTCTGCTGTCAGTTTACTTCGTGTCTGGCATGTAGGAATAAACACTCGAACAGTTTTCATGTTTTGTTTTTCATACATCACTGTGCAAAAGTCTTAAGCCACCTCTGCTTTCTTTTTATTTTGCTTCCAAGGGGCCAGACCATGTTGAGGTGGTCTTGAGCAATAGTTGTCCGGGCTTTCTGAAAGTTTGGAAATTGGCTGCTTTCTTCACTCACTGTTAGTCCAGTCCTTTCTCTGTCCATTTTCAGAGGAATGTTTTCTTTCTTTATTTTCGTTTAATGTTTTTAGCTCTGATCTATGAATCGGTTAAGCATATAAAAGGCACCAAACTCACAGCACGAACCATTGTTGTGTCTACATGTGACAAACAACTTAGAATCAATTTGTAATTTTTTAAATCTTCAGGCACTTTGTTACTTCTGACAAAGTAAAAATCTCCAAAAAGACCAAAGGTAACACAGTTTGACAGACATAAAATTCTAATTTTGCACCAGCAAGGTGATTCTCAAAGAGATATTAACTACAAGCCAGGCATATCTTGGCATGGTGTGTCGTGTGTCCTTAAAAAAATTACCTGAAGCAGATTAAAAGCATCTGAAAACAGAGGTCAGGGAATAGGCACGATAGTGAGCATCTACAGCCAGCTGTAAACCAATGTTTTATGGCTGCATTTTAGTCAGTGGCATTGGAGATGTTTTCACATTTGATTATGTAATGAAATTATGAATGCAGAAAGGTATTTTGATCCAACATGCATTAAGTATGGCAATCCCAAACACACTAAAGCGCACGATCTGATATCCTCGTGTTGGTGTTGTTCCCAGATCATCATACTAAAGGTTGTTCCAGGATCAACATTGCAAGTGACCAATCAGAATGTTGTGATGTCATACTTTTGCGACTTCGGGAAAAACCGGCGTAAAACAAAAAACTGTACTTAAGCTGCGAGAAACCGCCTTTGTCCGCCGATCAACGGACCCTAACCCTGACCCTTTAATAAACGCTAAGCAGAATTGATATTGTCCTTGCAACATTGGAATTTCATAAATGCACGAATGGGTTGGTGCGCAAAAGAATAACGTCACAATAATGTGATTGGTCACTTGCGATGTTGAACCTGGAACAACATTTTCATGATGATCTGGGAACAACACCAACACAACGATATCAGATCATCCCACTAAAGCATACCTAAATAGAAAAACATACAATGAAACACTATCAGTCATTGATTGATCTACCCAGATTTCGACATTATCAAAGCACCCTGACAAAGGATGAAACAAAAAGTAGCCAACATCCAAAAAACCACCTTTGGGATTCCTTTGAGAAGTCTGGAGAACTCCTGACGAATACTTCAAGAAATATTAAGAAACCAATAGTTCATGCTGTGTTGAGGAATAAAGTTAGTCAAACCAAATATTGCTCTAAAGTGTACAAATTCAGCTTTTGCCTTCTGTTCTATATTCCCATGTATGTTTGCACGTGTCACGTGCCATGTCCCATTTTCCGAGTAAAGTCCAAAGAAATGAGGGGTGACTCAAGACTTTCACAGAGCTGTATTTCATACTTACATCTGTTTTTGGATTTATTAAACAGATTGCTGGTTGGTAAAAGAACTACATTGCGCAAAAGGTGACATAAATTATAGATTTTGACTGGTTATTTGTGTCTGTGTCGACCTCGAGGATCTTTGCCATCTGACCTCGCTGCGACTTTTAAACCCCAAAACAGTCAGTGAGGTGACAATCCAAAAAAAATATGTTAGTAGTGTTGAATCTGTCTGCAAGCTAACATTCAGACCATTTGGCTGGAGCTGTTTATAAGGCAGATCGTTCCAATTAGTTTGCTAGCATTTCTGCTAGCGAACAGTAGTAGCTGCGTTTTGTTTCAACATGAAAATAACCGTTTCTTTTTGGACACCGGGTACACATTGTTGTGCAAGACCTGAAGTGGCGTGCATAGAACCCTGACCCAAACCTCATGTAACACCTTTAAAACGAACAACAGCTGTGAGACAACACGTATCACTCACTGGTGTGTGTTTCTTGTGGCTCTTGTGAATACAATAACCAACACAAGTCCTCAGGTGTCAATGCACGTTTAGCCTTGCGCAATAATAGAGTACACACTTACAACAGCTTTTGTTCCCAAACAGTCACTTATATGATTCTGTTCCACTATTTTGTCGGCGCAATGCGAAGAAAAGGAAACTGATTCATTCGCCACTTTAATTATACATAAAGATAACATTTTCATTACAGCTCATTATTTGGCAATGATACCATTATTTTATTAGATGACATTTCTGTAAGGCTCTAATCCTTTCTTCAGATGATATGACATGATAGTCACTTAATAGAGATGCACATTATGTTCCCCTGTATATTCATAAAAAAAGATTTATTTGCACAAGTACAGTTGTAGTATTTCCTGTAATTACAAGATATGCTGATGAGTCAGTCAGCCCTGTAGTCACCACTTCAGCTCCACTTCCCATTTCAAAGAGGAAACATCATTTATGGCAGATTGGTTGAGGTGTAAAAAGGGAGGGGGCGTTTGTGCTCTCAAGCGCTCTTTGAATGAGAAAAACACAGTCAAATGGGACTACTTTCCTTAACTCATACAACACCCAGGAGAAATTTAATGGCTCCTCACAAATTCCCACCTCCCTGAATATTTTAACAATTCATGAAAAATATTTGTTTGCGTTACAGATATCCAGGAGGGAATCATATCCTGCAACTAATGAAACAGAAGTGGCATATAAGAGGCTTTTTCCAGCTTTGTGAGAGTTGCCCCGGGTTTAAGGAGAACTCAGATGCAGGTTGGGGTTTTCTGTGTTTTCCCCGCTGCTAACTACGTAAAAACGTGCACATATTCATTGAGGCTTTTTTTTAAACATTATTTTCCAGTTTGTAGCATTTACAAACAGTGTGTGTGGTATTTTTTGGTTTGTGGTAGGTAGTAGATGCACAGTTGCGAGACATTAGCTATGTGTGTGAATATGCGCACAGGAAGAGAAAGGTGTTGCCAGCGTTTAGCACTTTTAGGTTTTACTCCACAACGTGTCTGTGTGAGTTCCTATCTTTACTTGTTTTAATGAGAAAACACCTGCAACAAATCACAACCAGTAGTTATTTTCTGCCACATGAATGGAACGAGCAAAAACGTCCATGTGATGTGTTTCAATAGATTTTAGCTAGGTGTTTCAATGTTTGAGAGCTCTGATTATATAAAACTTTCATATTAATTATTTGTGCTTTTAAGCGCACCTACACTGAAGGACATTTATTCCAATGAAATAGCTAAAAACTTACGTAAATGCTACTTTATCAGTGTTTACTTCAATAACTGCAATTCAAACATACAGCTGAGTATACTGCTCTTTCACCACATTGCAAACTCATATTATTCAATTAGTTGGTAGATCAGAAGTATCGGAAGTCTCTAACTACTGTAATGCTACGTGTTTGTATCTTTTTATTAAGTAATCAACCACTAAATAGGCTTTCATGCACTGAAAAACTCAGTTTGTTTCTGTTTGACATTTTAATTTGTCACATTCGCTTCTTTTTATAGTTTGGTTTTTACCGGTGTTTTGATTGATTTGTATTGGATTCTTCTGTTGAATTCTTTGCTTAGGATTTTTAAAGTAATCAATGCCATAAATGTCTCAGCCATAGGTTTAGCAATTCTTTGATGTTGTGGCAAATTTGGTATTTACTGTCTGCTTCCTGGATCATTTATGAACATGTCATTTCTACGTAACTTGTGCTGACGGAAAACTTACATGACAGCTCTTCTAAAAAATGTTCTACATGAACCGACTACCATAGTGGTAAACTGCAAACTGTACTTTGACTTTGATGCATCAGTGATAATAATAACACCCTTAAACACTCACGGGGGAAATACTTTTGAAACGACTGCTTCAAATCGAGAAGGCTAGCGCCATACAAGAGCGCTCTGCACACTGTTT